GTGTGTGTGTGTGTGTGTGTGTGTGTGTGTGTGTGTGTGTGTGTGTGTGTGTGTGTTCCGCAGCAAATAGAATTTATTTTTGGTACTTTTGGATACTTGAAACGTTTAATTGCTAAACTCTTTTTAAAGACTCCATGCTGACTGCATGATAGATGTGTTTCTACTTCTCTGTACAAAAGGCTCAATTTTTGTTGAGTCAGCCAACCAGAGAGGGAAGGTGATTTGTATTTTGAAAGCAAAAACAATCGTTGGCAAGTTTTTGTTGTGTTTTTAAAAAGGATAAGCTTGATAAGAACGTATTCAAGCAAAKAATAAAATATTAGAGCTATTCGACCAAACTGCCAAGTTTTTGTTTGTTTATGTTCATTACAATGTAATTCTGAGATGCACTAGAGATGATGTCAAGTAAACTTTGTTTCATGTCTGAAACCCAGGATCAAGTTTTATTTTTTGTTAGTTKTTTTGTTTTTKGGCTGCTMTCTTTAGTCCTATTAGATTAAGCTGAGCTTCTGTTATGATCTTCTGATTTGTATAGTTTTATTACTTAATTATTGATATGCATTTCTAACCTTAARCCTGTGACTAGGCGGCACAAACCAAGGTTTTGGACATTTGTTAAACAGCTTTTAAATCAGACGTGTAGCCATGAAAATCAACCTTTTTTTCCACAATTCTCAAAAAGTCATCCAACTATTTTATTTTTCAGCTTAAGCTGGAGATTAACATCAAGAAYGTAGTTTTTATATTTGGTGGGTTCAGTTTACAGAGTTTCAACACATTGATTAGCTTTAATAGCAACCGCACTTTGAAGTACACTGCATGGCTGATAGGTTTGAAAATACATTTATGAGACTTAAAACATTTTGTTTTCAGTAAGATTACATTTACAGTAACTTGTTTTGTTTGCCTGCTTGTTTCATTTCCTGAGCACAAATCAGATTGTACCCTCCTTCCTGAACTGCTTCTTATGTTAATCAATCAAAGCATTTTCGAGAATAAAGGTTTATTTCTGCGAATTCAGTCTGGTCCATTTTGTCCACCCACATGTATGTGTTTACTACGCTGGAGCAACAATAAATTGTCTTTTTAAATCAACAAATAATCCCTTTTGAGACRAACTGCTGTTTAATAAGCTCAATAAAAGATTACAACATGGTGAATTGTGTTTCCTTTATTTTTAATGTTGTATAAAGTGTTTTTAGAGAAAGTATAATTAGTGCAGGGCCTCTTTACTGATATTCATCACTGTGGACAGGAAGTACCACATCAGTAAGCAAATCTAACAGGATATTTTCACAACTAAACATCTTTTCCAACTAACATTTACCAGATGTTTTTATGGTTATATCTGCATTTCWTGTTTCCTTGGTCACAGTAAAGTCAATTTTCTGTTTATATTTCTTCATATATTGGCTATACTTATCAGTTTTATTAGGATAAGCAATATGTTGCTTAACAAAACGGCAGTTTGTGCTACCTTTTTGTTTTTTTAATCAACTTTACAGTCCGTATTCCACTTTTATTGCTCTAAATGTCACTCCACCGCACAGCCCTCCAACACAAGCCATGTTGAATTGAATTTTTAAAGATTTGAAGTGGTGAACAACATTCCTACAAGGACTTTGAGATTTCTGACTTATATAAACAAAAATAAACACTTCAAGTCATTGCTTTCAAATGCCTGCATCCATACATTATTTTTTTTAAAACTGCTTTTTTCCTTTTAGGGTCCCGGTGGTCACTGTGAGGGGTGGGGTACACCCTGGACAGGTCATGACTTTATATTAGTCCAGTAAAAATAGTTCCTCTTTTTCTATTTGAGAAGATATATTGTTTTCAGAGTTCAGAGAGTAACTAGAAATGTGACTGGTTTATAAAAACTACCTTCCGCTGATCATTTAAAATGCAAAGAGTTAAAACTAAGCTAATATTCATTCATTTAAAACTGAGTAAAATGTGGAACAGTTAAAAAAAAACAAGTAACCTAACAAAGATTATGGCAAGTGTAAAAGAAACATACTTACAAAGCATCATCAAGGCCCGCCTTTTGGTGGTAGACACTGGATTTTAATGAAACTCGAGTTTCAATTGCTGCACGTCTAAGCTGTGTAGTTAACCCATTTCAACATGGCTGACCCAACTAATTAACCTCAGCAAGTAAAACCTATGCCATCTCTGTCCCAACATATACTCTCAGACCTAATATGTGATATGAAATCTTGCCATATTACCTGCAAGTGTTAYTTTTGAGATTCGATCAAATGGATGAAAATTGTCATTTTCAAGATGATAAAAACCAGCTGAGGATAGATGCATACTTGGAAAGATTGCTGTGTTTTTCATTAATTTGACTATAAGTGTTAGCTTTGGTTTTTACAAACTTAATCATGACTCACCGAACACAAAGCACTTCAGTAAGAGCTTGCAGTAGATTTCTCATTTGCGTGCTTGCATCACCTGTTTACAGCTAAGAGTTGCATCAGTGAGAAGAAGATTAAGCTGCTGTTTAGAGTAGTACATAAACTCCCAAAAGGTTAAACCTGGGTTCAGTTTTTTGAATAGGTCCTAACATGGATCATACTAAATGTTCATTTGTGGCAGAAAAAAAAAACATAAACATTGATAACAAATTGCAACAACTGGGGATAAGTGAATATGAACACAGAGGATTCCTAACAGCAGCTTGAAATATTATTTAAATACACAACACAATTATTGAATGAATCCTTTTCTAAAACAAGCTGATGATAATAAAAGAGCCTTGAAGGCATTGCGAGAAGTAAACAAGTGGTCTACGTCTACACAAACCATCTCCAGCTAAAGCTACAACTTGAACACGCCTTTTGTGCACCTTAAAACTATCCAATCGCTTCACTCGTTCAAATTGTTGAAGCTCATAATATGGACCAATTATGACACAGATAGAACCCAACTTTATGAAAAAATAAAAACTGGCCTAACCTTGGAGCACAAATTGGTTCTTGAGAAGTGAGTTTGTGAGTTCCTCAGAAGAAGTGATGCTGTGACTGAAGAAGACTTGAGGTAAGTTGGTTGATGGTTTCTTTTCTCGTCCTTCCATATTAAAACTGATCCCTAACCATTTTCTCCACTTTGTTTCCCTCAACAGTTCTCCAGCACCGAGACCTCCTGCAGAAGATGAACACCAATATAAGTTCAAACGTCAGCCTTCACAACTCCACCAACCACAAGCGTTACCATGGTCCACTGTGGTACCATTACCCTGAGTGTGAGGAGACCCCTTACAGCTTTATTTTCTACTATGGGGTCAAGGTGCTCAACTTCTTGGTTGGCTCGCCGAGCAACATCTTCGTCATCTGGCAAATTGCGAGCAAGAAAAAGAACACCTCCACGTCTGACATCTTCATCTTCAACCTGGCTTTGCTGGACGCTTACTTCTGCTTGATGACACCGATAGAGCTGACCAACAGGATGCTGTGGAGTAACGAGTATGTCTGGTACTTCCAGAGGTTTGCCTACGGAGTTAAGGACTTAACGCCGCTGTTCCTTGTAAGTGCTTACAACTTTTTTGTTGTTGCAATATAGTTATCCACAAATCAAACAGAATATACTCCAGAAATTTGAACACACACTTTTTTTTTTATAAATTATTTCCCTTTTTCATAACCATTTTCTAGCCTTTGTACTATTTTTATGTTGCAGCCATGAAGTTCAACAAATTTTATGGTTCCCATATCCCATATAGTTTGGTATATTTAAGAATTTAGTTACTCTATAATGTGTAAAAACACATTTAGATCACACTTTGTGTGTGCATCTTTTCAGGACCATTTCCTGCATAAACACCTACCTTGTCAAGACCAGTAGTCCTTGTGGGGACCATAAACTGGTCCTAATATGGTAGAACACCATTTTTGGGTGGTGAGTTAGGTAAGGTGTGAATTGAGTTTAGGTTAGGTTTAGAGTAAGAGTTCGGGTATGGAAGTAACTGCAAAAAAAAAAAAAAAAWWTTTAAAAATGGAGGTCAATGACCGGTCCCAATAAGGATAGAAATACTAACTTGTGTTTGTGGGTGTCAAATAAATCTGTGCAACTTTATTCAAAGAATGTCTTATTAAATGCACAGATATTATTCAGAATTATAAATGTTGATTATTTAAGACTCCTGTGCTTCAAACTTTCATATTAGACACTCAAGTTAAATAAACAGAAAAATATTACATAAAATATTTTTTGTGTGTGTGTGTGTGCCTGCACTCCAGGTGTGTATCTGCATGGATCGCTACATAGCCGTGGTCCACCCGGTGTTTTTCTCTAGATATCGAGACAGCATGGCCCGGACTACCATTTCTGTGGTGGTTTGGATTCTAATGATGCCTTACAGCCTGACAAAGTCCATCTTTGGAATCATGAGCACGACAGATGTCTTCGGCGGGGTCATCCTCTTCGCGTTCGCAATCATGGTCTTCTGCAACATCTCTGTCATCTGGGTTCTCCGTCACTCCGTGGCCGGGAAGGAGGTGATGCACCCAGTGAAGAAGAAGGCCTTTAAGATGGTACTGAAAAACCTGGCCATCATTGTGGTCAACTACCTGACCCCCGTGGCCACCATGCCCTTCGTGCCAGTTTACTCGTACATCGAGTACCGCTGCTTCATCAGCATCATCGTGTTCTCCATCATGGATCTGAGCTGCATCATCGAGCCACTCCTCTACATCACAAAGATGGAGAAATTAAACGTAATGTGCTGCAAGCAGGACTCTACAGAAAGCCCATCTGATGCTAAAGTTTGATGAAAACTCCATCAATGCTGTTGGTAAATCAAATACACACTCTTAACACGACTAAAGTTATAAAATGACTTTAAAAACTTGCTTCCAAGGTGTTCCTTTTAGAGAAAAAAAATTAAGACATGGTAATTTTTCAAATATAATCTATAGTTGGTGAAAATGTTTTATACATTTCAATACAAGTTAAATAAAACGAAGAAACAGAGTTGGTAAAGCTTAGAACAGAACTGCCATTGACCATTTTTACTTGGAAGTCMTTTGTGTTTTAATTGTTTTAGCTTAAATCATGTTAGAATGCACAGTATACATATGCATCCAAACATGAAACTATATGTATGTGTGTGTGTGTATATATATATATATACATATGAATTTTTTTCAGTTTTTCCCTGTTCTGTTCCATTTTAATAACTGTTATAAATAATTATGTTTAGACAGTTTAAGTAACAGAACTGTATGAAATAATCCATGGATCCCATAAAAATGAAATGGTTCATGCTTAAATAACATGTTTTAATTTTCTCTAGGTTTTGCCAATTTGTAACATGTGTTTTCAAATTGGAAGATACTGATTTAAAAAGTGTACATAAGTTTATTGAAGTGACTGAATAAAATTTGTGCTTTTATTTTCAGAGGTTTGAGTTAAACTGTGCATAATTTAACTGAAAGTTAGTATAAAATATTAAATTTTACACTTGTAAGAAAAAAAAAACATTGAAACATCCATGAATGAGGCATTATGAGCAGTGCAATAAGTGCCTGAAACTATAAGTTTATTAATCACATTTAGGGTTAAGATACACATGGGGCTAAATTTTCTACAAATAGAAGCTTTACAAATAACTCATCATATTGGAAAAAAACTTATGTATGTTTCTCTATCATTAACCAAACAAATTACTTTGTCCTTTAAAGTGTATCAGATGTAAAATGCATAAAATACTGCCACTGTTAAACAGTTTTTGTAAACTTAAAATCTGAAATGTTAAGTTTGTTATTCTTCTAATTTATTTTTGCCTTACTACGACGGAGTATTAGGGTCACACGAGTTTTTTTTATATTATTATTACGAGATTAAATTCGTAACATTACGAGAATAAAGTCAATATTATGAGAAAAAAGTCATAATATTACGACTTTAATCGCGTAATAATATAAAAAAACTCATAATGTGGCCCTAATACTCCGTCGTACCTTACAGATAGACTACAAGCAGATTTTTTTTCTTCCTCAAATTAAATGAAAAAGAAAACGCTATAATCAAGACATACTGTATTCTTGATTTGGTTAAAATATGTATTTGTCTTCTCCTGTGGAAACCAGAATTAAGAACTGTTCTCATTAACACATTGTTTTTTTTTAATGTATTTATTTTAATGGACGCCTGAGGCACTTTCTGATTTACAATTAAACACTTAACAGGTAATTAATTCAGCTTCATAGCCAGGAATCCACAGTGGGACCAATTAGAATTGATGTAATGAGAGGCCATATGGATTAGGCAAGATAACAAATTAAATACTGAGTAATTTATAAAAATAAAAAGACGAGTATCCCTCCCACTACTATAAAATGATATAAACCAGGGGTGGTCCTGGAGGGCCGCAATCCTGCATGTTTTATATGCTCAACCTGATACAATTATTCAATTACCTCTTCAAGTTCTACAGCAGCTTGATAATCATTCGTTTATTCAAAGCAGGTGTGACGGAGCAAAGAAACAAGTAAAACATGCAGGGTCATGGCCCTCGAGGACTACAACTGCCCACCCCTGATATAAACACACCCTCACTAACTTTCCTCGAAGAACCTCTGAATTCTAATTTGCGTTCAGTTATTGTTTAGGATAAAAAATGTGGATGTTGCACATAAGAACTTTTAGTTTATTAAAATCTTTTTGCTTTAAATTACATATATTTTTAACCTTTTTCAAAACAAGAGATTATTAAATAAATCTAAATTACTGATTTGTCTTCCAGAAATGATTTTATTCATTTTTTTAATGGAAAACAACAAATTGTAATTTTAATACGTGTTGGCACAAATCAAGCATTCCTCCATGGTTAGTCCAGGAAAATAAGGACACACATTAATGATCCAGTAAAAAGACTATATAAGGTATTTGCCCCGGCAGGAACTAAACTATAACATCAGGTCTGAGTAATTCCAGCGTGGAGCTTCTTCAGGTTTTCCGAGCTGGCTTCAGGTCCATCCTCTGATGTGACATATCCAGGGTACGTGGGGTGAAACAGTGGAGGCTGGGATTTGGTGACGGTGTGTTCTGCCCCCAACAGTGAGGACTGAACCAGGGGGATCAACTTGGCATGAGCGTAGTCTATTTCATAACCTTCAAAAATAAGCCCCACCCCCCAGGCACCCAACCCCTCCTCAAGCAGGCGTGACACCTTCCTGGTAGCCAGCACCAGAGCCTCGTAATCTGCCTTTTCCAGTTTGAAGATATCAGAGGTCAAAGGTCGGCGTGGGACTAACACGGTGAAGCCTGGGGAGTTGGGGAAAGGCGTGAGAAAAGCTACGTGGTTTTCGTCCTCCCACACCCGCCACTGCTGCTCCTCCCCGCGAACGATACGGGAGAAAAGGCCAGGGTGGTCCGGATCGTCCCCGAGGAACGTGAGATCAGGTGGGGCATCGGGGGAYGGGAGCTTAGCTCTAATTCTGGTCTGGATCTCATTCAGGTTGGACTCGCTCCATCGAGGGGCRGTTTTGGAGGTGCAGAAGCCCGGGTCGTGGGCATTGTGCTCCTCTTCTCCAGCGAGGTGAGGGCACCATTCTGCATCCAGACCGTGAAGTGGGAGGACACGGATCTGTTGTGGAAAAAAATATGGATATTATATTCTGTAGACTTCGTCCTAAACAGTGTATGATGCTAACAGAAAAATGGCACCATTATAATGTTCAGCAGCAGAGTTCTCACCTGAGCAGGTCTGTCTCTGTGGGGTCTGCTAACCAGAGCACACCTCCGAACGCCCAACCTGTCGCACAGCAGCTCCGCTACGGCTCTTGCCCCCAGCAGCCAGGATAAATACTCAGACTGATTCAGGTGGAAGATGCTGCCCCCTGGACTACCAGGAGCACTGCTCTCCAGGATCACRGAGCCTGGAGTCCAGGGCCGGGGGTTGAGGTAGGCCACCAAGCCCTCTGACTCCCAGACAACGTATCGAGGCAGTGAGGAGGACATGCTGTGGGGCGAGGAYGGCCAGGACAAGATAAAATGTGAGATAACAACTTCTATTTGTGATTTACTTCAGCAAAAAATTGTTTAGAAAACATAATTATGTGAGATCAACTCATTAAAATAAATCTTAGGGGAAAACTGTATGGAAATTACAAGTGTTTGTCACCAAGTTTTACAATTATCATTTCCTTTTTAGTCTATTTTTTCCCCTGATTTACTTTAGCTAACTAAACATAGGAGTCAGAGTTAATCAACAACACAGAGCAACAAAATTCTAAACTTTATACAATAAATCATGTTGCTGAAAACGTTTTGTTTTTGATTGTTGCTGAKTGATTCATTAGTCATTTGATCTGACTTCCTCTTAAATGAGCAAATGACTTGTGAGCACGTGACTGGAAGCTAAAACCTGAGCCAAAATTTTTAAACACAATTTCTTTTATGTAGCTAGCTGGCCATAAAGTATTTATAAACTGTGCTCTGGTTTAGATTTTACTTGGGTTTCTACATGTGTACTGTCAGAATTATGGGTCCGCTCCTTTTCGCTTCACCGGTGGACGACGCGGATAGAAGTCAGCGCGTGCGCCGTTCAAAATATTTAAACTCAGTTCGCCGCTAAACGCGACGTCGTATAAAGGATGTAGACCTAATCTAAGCCCTTACTATAAACCTGCAGCTGAAAAGCTAGCGACCAATGTCTATAAAAATAAGAACAGGGTAAATCAATGTTTTCAAACAAAATGTCTGCGATACATCCGTTTACATAAATTCACATATGAAGCAGTCATACCTTCGAAAAATCAACCTTAACAACATAAATATGTAGAGAACAAGTGCATTCCTGACACCGACCTGCCTTCTTTTATTTCTGCCCGCTGAATGGTCGCAAAATAAACACCAACAGCGATAAAAGAAGCAGCAAGAGAAGCTCTGAAACACATGAATCATTCAATGACGAAATGCAAACAAACTTTGCGGAATTTCCGCCCTAGGTTGCCAAATAGACAATAACGAAATTTCGTACTGCCATTCTATTCTGATCTTAACTTCAGCTAAACTATCGTATGGGCTGAGGCTAAGTGCGTTTTCTATTCAAAAAGGATAAAATAAGATAAAATTGTTGAATTAAAAAACGATTTTATCATATATCTATAGAATTTAAGACTATTGTACAGTATGATGTTGACGATTGTGGTTTACCTGGCAACACGTTTGGCAACTACTACCTCTTCGGGTAGATTTAGATGTAAACCGGCTGTAAAACGCTTTACTGCCACCTAGAGGAAAAATGTTTTATCATCTAAATTTGTTATTAATGTAGGTTGTTCATCTTTAGGCGTTTTAGCAAAAATTCTTGAACACACTCGGCAAATTAATTGATTGGTGTGTCTATGGTTTATTTAGTTTTTTTTGTACTTCATCAAAGAAAAAGGTCATTTCTTATAAATCAGTAATACAAGTAGATTTGGGTAAGAGATTCAGCTTCTAAAATAACCCTATAGAGAATATTTTTATTGCTATATATTCTGAATGAAGATGTAATCAATAAAAGTAAACAATTGTGTCTCCTTAGAATTCATGTTCTCATACAATTATGAAATTTGTGCTCTGCATTTGACCCATCACATGTGAGAAGCACTCAAGTGGAGCAGCYAYGACTTTCTGGTCCCAAGTCGGCTGCCCTACCACTATACCACAGCCGCCCCCAGTATACCAAGGAAACTACATCTTAAAAAACAAAATAAAGTCAATAGTATGATTACTCACATTAAATGGCAACAAAAATAACTAAAATAAGAATGTAAGGCATAATGTCAATGCAAAACATCCACCTATTCATAAATGCAGCCGCTCTATAGCAGTGGTTCCCAAACTTTTTGTCTTCTGACCCACAAAATATCCATGGCAAAAACTTGTGACCCCAAATA